TATATGTACACTATATCTTCTTCAGATACATTCATGCCCCCCAGCTCAGGCCTCCACATGAACCCCTCATCCACCCGATGGCAGATGTAAATAAAAACAGCTCAAGCATCTTCAAACAGCTTCCAAATAAAGAGCTGAAGTGGGCAATTTCCCCAGAGAAATCCCTTCCTTCTCTTCTCCTCGCTGCGTCCTCCCCTCTTCCACTGCTGGCCCTTCTTTCAGAGTCCCTCCATTCCCATCTTCTCAGCCCTCATGGCAGATGTTTACCTCACTTCTCATGTCAGTGCTTTGGCCCTAAGTCCAGAGTTATCTCCCTAATACAATTGGGGGGGGGGGTCTGAATGTGTTACGGTTTTTATTGTAAACTTGAATAATTGTTTCAAAGAATAAGGAGGAAACTTCTGTTCTGTTTCACAGCAAACTCAGGCGGCTCGCTCCAAGGCCCACAGACACCACAGTCGTCTGGCAGCAGCTCCACAGCAGAGGCTGCAGGGGACCTGAAACCCCCCACACCTGCGACCACCCCTCTGGGACAGGTCACACCGCTGCCCCCCAACAGGTACCACACACACGCTGCACAACTCTGCTGCTGCTGCTACTACTACAAGTATCACTGCTTCTATCACCCCTGCCCTTATAATTTATTTTTATAATTTTGTATATTTAATTTATGTTGTGTCCGTCAGCATAAATAATTTATGTACATATACTTTATGTATAACCAAGAATTCTTAGTCAATGCAGAGTATAAACCTAAGATATGAAAAATGTTTCTTAAAAAACAACTTAAGTGAAGCAAGTTTAAGTCAAAAGTAAATAACTCTGGTATGTTCCAGATACATAACCATCATCCAAACAGTTAGATGTGAGCATCCATGAAAAGGAACAGCTTTTTTTATTAGGCAATTTAGTTGAGATTAAAACGAAAGACTGTATTTTATTTTCTTGCTCTTTATATGATGATTAAAAGTCTTTTCGTTTTCAGTAAAATGTCCTTCACGGTGTCGGATGATTATAAATCATGACAGTTGTGTCTGCAGAGCTTGGCAGAGGAGACCACGTTCCGTTGTTGCTTTGTTTGTGATGTTATGTGAGAGACATACATGAAAAATAAAATGATACAGCTTGATGTACTTGTCATGTTACTTCACACTTTCGACCACATTTGAATGAATTAATA